CTTGTTGGCTGCTTTTGCCACACTACTTTCCATTTTCCCCAATGGTTCTTGTTTTGTTATTTGTATTTTTTTGGCTAGGCAATGGGGTTAAGTGACTTGCCCAGGGTCACACAGCTTGTAAGTGTTATGTGTCTAAGGCCGGATTTGAACTCAGGTCTTCCTGAATTCAGGGCTGGTGCTCTATCCACTGTGCCATCTAGCTGCCCCCCTAACCACACTATTTGCTACTAAGAAGAATAAGTTAAGATAAAAAGTGAAGGACCACAAGAGATTAATGCAAAGGCTATGGAAGACGGCTTAGTGTTTTAGCTGCATTCAATGAAACCTCATATTTATGTTTATTAAATTTTACATTTACTCATAATTGTCCTTTCTTTGCCCCCCTCATCCAATTTCCCATCAACTGGTTAAGAGACTGCCCACAGAACCATTTTGGCAGTATCTCATTTGACAAATGACCCCAAGTTGTGTTCTATTTGTTTGGAACTGACTTGGGGGACACATAACATCCCCCTTCTTCACTTGGCTCCAGTCAAGAAAAGAGGTCTCGAGCAAGGGTGGTCCCTAACAGTCATAGGTTCAGAAAGCAGCTTTCTGTTATGAAAAGTGCATAACACAAAGTATTTCTTCCTTAGAAAAGGAGGGTGGGGTCAGGTGGAAGAGACACCTCCATTGACTTTTAGAATTAGAAGAAACTGGAATGTAAAAGGCATACTAATCCTTCCAAACCTCAAGCCAACTGAGCTAAGCAGGCAGCGATCCTAATTTTTATAAACAGACAGACAGACAGACAAATAGATGGATGGATGGATGGATGGATGGATGGATGGATGGATGAATAAAGACCTTATCTAAAAAAGAGTATTTGAGTTGATGAGAATGGAATAGAATAATAGGCAGGTTCCTAACATAGACTAACTGCTTTCAAGCATTTGAAAGGCATTCATGTAGAGGAAGTACTAGATTTGTGTTGTCTGGTTCCAGAGGGCAGAACCAGGTTCTTAGATAGAATGATATGGGTTGGACTAGATGCGCCCCGCCCTCCCCCCCCCCCGTTCTCTTCAATTGTCAAATTCTGTGATCTGTGACATTACCTGAAAAGTTACCTCCAGCAGCAACTCCAGAACTCAGGTAGAGAATAGGGTTACCTTTCCATTTGTGTTCTCTTAAAGGAAGGATAGAGTGATGGGCTGGGAGTCACTAGAATCCTGGGTTCTAATCTTGCTTCTGATATTCAATAGCTATGAGACTCTGAGCATGGCATTTTATTATTCTGGACTCAGTTTCCTCATCTAGAAATTGGGCGTTGTTGTGAAGATCAAAGGAGAAACAGCCAAAATCCTCTGCCAAATGCTTTACAAAGACATCAGTGGGTGCTGTTGATGAGACCCTCCTCTTTCCCCATCCCCATCCATTCATGGAATCATAGCATCCTAGAGCTCATGAGCTGGAAGGAACCTTGAGGCATTCATTTTATAGACTAAGAAATGGACTGGAAATGTGGAGTTATTGGTCCGAGATGACAAAGATAAGTAAATGGCTGGCGCAGTGCACTGACTCTATCACACCAGCAATATCAATGGGGGTGGTGAGGTGGAGCAGAGAACAGAGCGCCAGGACTGGAGTTAGGAGGACTGTGTTCAAATCCAACCTCAGACACTTAAGAGCTGTGTGATGCTGGGCAAATCACTTCACCTCCATCGCCTCAGTTTCCTCATCTGTAAAATGTGAAATAACAGCCACTACTTCCCAGGGTTGTTGTGAGAATCATGTGAGATGATCATTGTAAAGCACTTAGCCCAGTGCCTGGTGCATAGTAAGTGCTGTATAAACTTTAGTTATTATTATTATTATTATAAATGAGGGAGGGGCCATTCATGAAGTGTGATGTAAGTTTGGAGCCCTTTGTTCCAGAACTCATTCTTAGGTACCCAAAGTCCGTTTGTCTCTGTTCTCAGTTAACTAAGTGTTAAGGAAAACACCTTCCTGATATTATGCTAAAATGATGAACAAATGCATTATGGCGTGAAACGTATCATGGTTTTATTAAGGGTGTTAATAACCTATTCCCACTTCTTGAGAGTCATACTCACAAGGGAATCTCATAGGCTCCCTTTGCCTGGATTTTTACAAGGTATTTAATATGTGGGCAAGATGGCAATGCATTGGCCAGGTGACTGTAGCCTTCAGTGATATGGACACTGGGTGAGTGACCATCCCCAGCAGCAGTCAATGTTGACATGGGGAGAGTTCTCTACTGTAGGGTCCTGGCCCTTGTTCTTGGCCTTGGGTTTTTAGCAGTGACATTAATGAAGGTGTAGGTTGGATGCTCATCACAAAGACTTCAGGGATAGCCAACATTCTGGGTGACAGTGTCAAGAACTCAAATCTGTCCCAACAAGCTGGATGGAAGGATGTAATTGAATAGGCATAAATGCAAAGTCATAGTCCTGGATTCAAAACATCCATAAGCATTAATGGTTCCATCACAGGATGGTGGGGCGGGGGAATGAGGCTAAACAACAGGTCGTTTCTTTCCCCCTCAGCCCACACTTTGTTCTGCAAACCTCTATCTAGTGTATTGAGAGAGTATTGCTTATTATAGATAGCTCTGCTAGTGTTCTTCATCCCTTACTAGCTCCACGATAACAAGAACCATGATTTCCTCTAAAAGCTGCATCTTCCGTAGCTTCTGTCACAGTATTGTGCACATACTAAGTGTTCATCAATCAAATGACAGTTGCAGGTTTTGCTGGAATTGGGGGTAGGGTGGGGGTGGTTGGGAGTTAGTGGAATACAAGTTCAGCATGAGTCAACAGTGGCAAAAAAGCTCAAGCTTAACTCTGCCAGCCTCTTGTTCCTCATCTGTACACTGGGGATAATAATGTTACCTTCCCATGAATAAAAGACCTACTGTGAAGAGCAGTGGAGTGTTCCTGCCAGTTCTACTGTGCTGGTCACATAGTCCAGGACTTCTTGGGTCACATTTTCAGGACATCGACAAGCAGGGCAGCCAGGGAGGATGGCAGATGGTGTCATGCAAGGATCAGTCAAGAGTGAGCTGGAGGGTGAGCAGAAGCCATGGTGGGAGTGGGGAAGTGAGGGACAGGACATGACATCTCCCCGAAAGATCTGAAGGATGTTTGTGGGGAAAGAGCCATTGGGCTGGTTTTGCTTGGTGCCAGAGGGCAAAACTAGGGATCATGAATGGGACCAAGCCATTCTTTTCTTTGTCTCCTAAGCCCCTAGCACTGTGCCTGGCACACAGTAAGTGCTTAATAAGTGCTGATTGATGGATTGATTGATTGATTAAAATTGCAAAGAGTTCAGTTTAGGCTTGATGTTAAGGGATGACACAAACAAACAAGCAAAAGCAAATCTTCCTAAGTCTTAAGAGTTGCTCTAGGGTGGGGTGAGCTGCTTTGAGAGATGGTCGATCTCCTCTCATTGGGGGTTCTTTAGGGAAGGTTGTTGGGAGGATTTTCATTCAGGTTTGGGTTGAACTATGTGACTTCTAAGGTCCCTTCTGAATGTTCAGCTATTCTGATTCCGTGATTATTATTCTCTGCATCCAGTGGAAAATGCCAATAGTCTGGTCTACTGGAATCCCCAACTCAGAATACCGTGAATCAGTCTCAGGCTCTTTGGCCTGCCAGCTCTGTCTCCTGACTGCTGCCGATGCCAGTGCCATCACCCAGACGGAAGAGGCTTCTCCAATTGTCGTGGGACTGTTTTTCTCATTTTCTGACCAGCCCAGCAGTGAGGGGAACAGGAGAAGTTAGCGGTGCCTCAGAGGACCATCCAGAGAGGCAGTCCTATCTGTATTACGTATAATGTGAGTGGGGATTCTCGGAGGAGATCATCATGTCAGGCATATTTTCTCCTCTAAAATATTAAATTTGAAGTTATATTGGTACAAAAATAACAATTGCAGGTGATCATTACTGTTAGAAAAATAGAACTGCATAGGCTTGATTGTTACAGTAGCTAACATTTCTTTCTATATCACTGTAAATTTTACAAAATGCTTATCATATATTGTCCCACTTGAACTTCAAAGCATCTCTAGGAGGCAGGCACCGTTATATTTCCTGTTTTACAGATTAGGGAACTGAGGCTAAGTAGCTTGCTCATGGTCATGAATCTACCAAGTACCCGAGGCAGGATTCCACCTCAGATATTTCTGACCTCGAGTTCAAAGTTCTGTGCTCCTGACTGGATGGCCCTTTCCTGTAACGTTCTCCCTCATCACTATCTCCTGAGTCTGGGCTTTTGTTAAGACACAGTTCACCTCGCACCTTCTGTAAGAAGCCTTGCCCACTCCCTGCTACTGGTGCTGTCCCTCTGAGATGACCTCCTATTTTTACTTTACACAGCATGCATGTGTGTAGTTTATTAATCTGCTTTCTCTCCCATTAGAATGAGATCTCTTTGAAGTCACAGACTGGATTCGCCTTTCTGAGTATATCTAGCACTTAGCAGAGATCTGACTCTCAGGAAACAGTTAATAAATGCGTGTTGATTGACTGACTGACTGACCAGCCTCTGAGATCTTCCTGACTTGGGCTGGCCCTTTATCTTTTGCTTCACTTCTCATTAAGAAGACTAATCAGCATTTCTATGTTGCTGTGAAATTTACCAAATGCAATTGAATGTGTTATTTCTTTTGAAACACACAACAGCTCCAGAGCCCCAGAGAGGTTAGGCGACATACCCATCCATGGACATCTAATAGGAGGGGGGGGCACCATGTGAGAGGCAGGCGGTGGGCCAGGGCCTCCAAGACTCCCAGACTGGCTTTCTATCTACTGCCTCTCCTGGTATCAATGCCACAGAGCATCTGCAGAGTGATTGAGACTTTTCAAAGCACTTCTCAATGAATTCTTTTTTTTTTTGTTGTTTCCTTTGAGATACTCTAATGAGGTGGGAGGTGCACATTATTACCGCTACTTTATAGAAGAGGAAAATGAGGCCCAGAGAGCCAACGGGACAGGGACAGCATGAGGCAGCCAGAAGTAGGACCAAGGTCTTCTTCCCCAGGGCTCTTGCCCCTGTAGCTCAAAGCCCCTTGGCATATCTGCTGCCAGTCTTGTCCACCTCCCACCTTTACAGCTGTAGTGACCAAAGGCCTCCCAGGCCTTTTCCAGCTCTAGATATATGAACTGCGGCCCCATAGCCTTGCCAGACATCCTAGGAAAGTGCATGTCCAGCGGGAGACAAAATGGTGCTTTGGAAAGAGCGGAGGAGGTGGGTTAAATCTTTGTATGACCTTGCGTGAGTCAAACCTTTCTGAGCCGTAGTTTCTTCATCCTTAAGTAAGGGATGGGGGAAAGGGAGGAGGGACTTACTAGGTTATGGAACCATTGCTCTCGAGCCAGGACCTGAGAGGCCTCGGTGTCCAGCCCTCTCATTTAATAGGGCAGGAAACTGAGCAGACAAAGGTTAAATGACGACCAAGGTCTGGCGCCTGGTAAGTGCCTGAGGCAGGGTTTGACACCAGATCTTCCGAGCTCCAGACCCAACCCTTGACCGGCTACACGATGAAAGTCCTTCTGGCTCTCTGTCTGGGCATGTGTGATCTTAGCATGTCTGGACCAGAGGGAGAGAAGCGGAGCACACCCCCTTCTTCCCATCGCACATACCTGCAAAGCACAGGACGGTCACCTGGGCCACCTCCCCTCCGGAGCGCCTGCTTGCTTTGTCCCGGAATACCAGCATCATGTCTGGAGACTTGTACTCGCAGTCGGCCTCCGACCGTCGGAGCACGGCGTAAACAGCCGCCGCAGCCGCCGGGCTCCGGCAATTCAGGTCCTTGCCACGGCTGCGCGTGGGGCCAGAGGAGTCGGTCGTGGAGTTCCCGAGGAGTGGGGCCGGGGGGTGCGGGTCACACGCGCAGCGCCACGCATTCCTCTCCAGACCCCGAAGGATGATCCGCGTGAGAGGAGCGAATACGTCGGGGATGTGCGCCAGGTTATTGCGGGAAAGATCCACCTCCCGCAGCCCGGGCAAGGCCCCGAAGGCCCCCTCCCCAAGGTAGCTGATGAAATTGTTCGATAGGTCCAGGTAGCCGAGGCCGGCGAGATCGGCGCCGACAAAAGCGCTTTGTGTCAGGTTCCTAAGCCGGTTCCCGTTCAGGAGCAGCCGGAGCAGGCCCTTGGTGTTTCTGAACCAGGTGCCCTGCACACTGTCCAGGAGGTTGTCACTCAGGGCGAGCACCTGCAGGGTCCGGAGCTCTTGGAAGGTGGTGTTGCTGATGGAGGAGCTGGACAGCTGGTTGTGCTCCAGAAGCAGGATCTGAAGCCCTGGCAGCCCGTGGAAGGCGTCTCCTCGAATGTCCAGGATGCAATTTCGGCTCAACGTGAGCACGGTCACATTGGGCAAGAAGGACAGGTTGGTGCCCTCTACCGTGATGATGAAGCCATCGGTCACCATTAGCGCCCTGGTGCTCACCGGGACCTCTGTGTGGACAAAGACACTGGAGGTGAGACACACATGCACATACACATACGCACACACAAGCACACATGCACACACATCCCCCACTGATCTCAGCCAATATCCTACAAGCAGCTATAACCTGGTCAAGAACACAATAAGTGGGAGGGAACATGAAAGTTATCCCCTTGTGCTCGGTGTGTGGGGGCAAAGCTGGCTGTTTATCAGAATGGTGCGTCTTTACATTCTGCATCCCCATGATGTGTTTGCTGAGGAGACAGAAGCCCATCTGTTCATTAGGAGTCAAAGTGAACCCACTGCTTATTATATCCCTGTTTATAATGATAGCTCATGGGTGTGGTGGTTAAAGGCTGGCAGAGAGCTTGACATCCATTATTTCATAGGAAACAAAGGCCTTATCACCTAAGCGCTGCTATTATACTCATTTCCAGGTGAGGAAATTGAGGCTCAAAGTATGAAAGTGCTTTCAACCACAGCAACAAGAAATCTGTATTATGTGTGAGAAGCCAGGGAGGTGCAAAGACCTGGGTCACCGAGCAAGGGTCAGGAGCATTGTATGAACTCAGCTCTTCCTGCTTCTTACTCCAAAGCTCTTTCCCGTAACCTTTGTGCTTTTCAAGATTTTTTTTTTGTATTTATGAAAATGAGAAACAAAGTGTTTCTCATAAGCAAGTGGCTGGCATGAAACAAACTGTTCGTGTGTGCTTTGCCCCCCAAGACCCTGCCCTGCCCTGCAACCCCCCTGCTGTTCCAGTGTGGGGCTTTCCCTCATCGGGGGCCATCATCTAAGCTGGCTAACTCATTTACTGATGGCAGGCTTTATTTAATACAGCGAGTTCACATGGATTTTTCCCCAACAGAGTAGATTATTATTATTATTGTTGTTCACCTCAGGCTAAACCTGCGACATGGCAGGCATGTGTTTACTCACTGATGACCCGAGGATCTGTCAGTGGGGCTCTCAGTGTCATTGGGCTGTCCCAGCCTCCTGGCCATTAGAGGTTTCCTCTGACGAAATCTACCATCCTATGACAGGTGGTGCTTGGGACTTCCAGCCGCTCAATCCAGTTACCATCATTATCTTCCAGAGATCACAGCTTGGCCATTAGGAGCCAAACCATTTTAACAGACAAAGAGGCATCATAATAAGGAGTCATTGCAGTACGTCATTATCATACTAACCTTATCTTGACTGCAATGACAGTTATCATAATGACTATCATCATAAACAGGTCTATAGGTGGTCCAGTGGCTGGGGAGGAAAGTCATAGAGCCCCGGCCTCTGGAATTCTGGCTATTCAGCAAACGGGGGGAAGGACAGACAATGCACGGCTTTCCCATCGTGCGCTCTCGTTTGTGGCTTGAAGCTCATTTCCCTGTAGCTCCTGGGATGTGCATGTTGAACATGGGCACATTTGAATAAAGGCATTTCTTAGTGATGATGTGGATGAATTATTTCTGGTTTCTCCTTCCTCCCATCACTTAAAAAACAAACCAACATTGGGAGGTGCATTTTGTTTTCCCTGGGTTCCTTCCACCTTCAGGGATTTGTTAACACTAAGTCACCAGCCTAGAGCCAGTCAATTACTTCTTGCTGGTGATGGAAAGAAGCTTCACTAACAAGCCATCCACACGATGCTCTGTTTTCCTGAAATCTCCTGCTCCCCCATGTGACATCTTGGAAATGAGAATTGTAACAGAGTAGGCTATACGTGTGATGGAAATGAGGGAGTGCTCTTTGTTTCTCACCAGCATCATCTAACCACCCCCCCCCCAAAAAAGAACAAATCAGGGATTCTGTTTTCCCACAGAAGGGGACTTCAAATTGTTACAGGTTGAGGCCGTGTTCCTACTAACCTTCCTTTTGTCAGGAGGGCTTTAACAGCTGCGATTTTCCCAGCAGAGGCTCGGGATTTTAGAGTCAAAATCTGCCTTTTTCTGAGGCTTCCTCTTTAGCCCACATAGATGCCTCAACTTTGCACTCACTCTGTTTATGGCGGTGCTCAACGCTGGTTAAATATCAGATGTAAATCACATTCTCTTTAAATTTCTTAATAAGGTGCCTTATTAAATTGTTGACTTTACCAAGCAGTAGGTAATGAATACAGCCAGTGGATCTTGTTAGGATTGCCACAGCTCATTTACTCCCAATGAAAAAAGAAGGAAAGAAAGAAAAAGACTAGTCCTTCAAAATCAGATCTGTTTGATTGTCGTCTTTGTGTCTGGATTATTCCTTCATCTCCCCGAGGTGGGAGCCTGAGAGATGGGAGAGCTCTGTCGGTCGATCCCACCATTGTGCTCAGCAGAAAGTTGGGGCAAAAGGAAGAGCCAAGTGATTTCATTTATTTCTTTTTTTAAGTGTTTTCCTGCATGCAAGGACACCATTCATCTTCAGTAATAAAGATTCAAATAACCTCTGTAGGGATTAAAATAGGTTTGCTGAGGATGGTGGCCGTAGGGAAACAAAATCAGCCAGGTGGCTTCTGGTCTTCAGGAGGAAGGGTGACTCTCAGTGTTGCTCCCCTACGAGCTGAACCCAGGGAGCAGCAGGTCCAGTTAAAGGGGGACAGGAGTGGACTAGCCGGTCCTTCCTTTCATTACCTGGTATATATGTCAGCCTCTGGCAGAGAGTGACATCCGGGGAGCACACCGAGCAGGACAGGGGGCAGGATGCTCCCAATCGAATGGTGATTGCCAAGAGGGTGAGCCAGCCGCCTGAAAGAAGAGGAGAGAGCACATATTCCCTAGTGCTGGTATTTATTATTTGTGATTTAATTACTGTCAACTCATTAGAGATTTTGCTGATTTCTACTTCAAAAAATGTCTTCACAGACCACCCAATGAATGGCATTGGAAACTAGTTGCTTTAATTTTGGCAGACAAGAACGTTTGAAGAATGTAGCCGAGTTTACAGTGGCAGACAGATCCTGATTATGGGGAACCCATTACTTTTCTTTAGGATTAGATAGAGTTAGGCCATCTAGTACAATGTGTCTTTTTCTTAATTTATTTTTTTAAGCCAGCAAGGAAATAGAGACCTAGAGGACTTAATTGACTTCCCCAAGGTCACAGAGGCAGCAAGTTTCTGAGGTGGGATTCAAATCCAGGTCCTCCTGTCTCTGGGTCCATTGCTCTACATCCCTCCCACCCCAATTTCTTCCAGTACTCTTTCCACATCACATCTTATCAAATTAAGACGATTCAGACACGTCCATAAGTACCCCTGTAGACGCTTTTCTATTACATTTCAGTTTCTGAGTACAGCCTCACTAAAAAGCTTTATTGATACCTTTTGTTGTCTATTATACCATAATCATATTCCATTATGCTCCCTTAAAACAAAGTAAACAGTGAAGCAAGATTGATCCAACTAGCAACTCTGTCTAACAGGGCACAAGTATTCTTTGTCGAGAGTCAGCCACCTTTCTAAAGAGAGGAGGGCAGCGTGTTTCATGACTGACCCTCTATGACACCAGATACATTTAGCTTAGCTAAAGTCTTAACAAGCTTGTCCCAAACTCCCTCCCCTACCCCTCATAAAACAAAACAAAAACTAACCATGGGCTTGCCCCTCGTTTTGCAAAGAACAGTACGTGAAGCCAACCCCAAAGTCTACTGGGAGCGCCAGAGCTCCTGACAATAGGGCTGAATGTACGAAGCCTTCTGTAGCCTCCGGACTCTGAGTCCAAGGCCATGTTTTCAAGACCATTTTAAGAGACGAGAGCCGAGCAGCCAAGCATGTAGTCACAAGGCCCGTGGATTGGTGGGTCGTTGGGCACCGAGGGAGTTAACACCTTTTTTTGTCTCTTTTTCATTTCCAGTCTTTCATTTCAGGGAGGAAAAACTGCCATTTGAAAACATGCAAAGCTAATTAAAGCTTTTCGAAGCTTCATTATCTGAATGCAGTTGAGAATCCTGACTTAAAACTCTTATCAGGAGGAGACTCAACGTTGGACCATGAACAGCAAATGAACATTCAATTAACACTTCAATACAAGAGTATTTTTTAATAAAAAATACACTTTATTGTTAATCTCTTACTCTTTGCAAATGCAAATATCCACATTTTAAAACCCAAAGACAGTTGCTGCCCTTTTACTCTTGCCAGAGAGGAAAAAAAACCAAATGCTTCTTTCTCTATTTACAGGGAAGACCAGAATTTTCTGAAGTTGTGACAAAACTGGAAGAATGCCTTTGCAACATTGAGGTGAGTGTGTCAGGGTCCCTGAAATTAGCAGCAAACAATGGTCTGCACATTCAGGTGAGACCCTGAGCCTGGCAGGGAGGTGGTACTTGAGAAGAGAAAGCTTGGCCTGAGTCTCAGCCTTTGTTATTCTTATTGAAAATTCATACAGTGCCCTCCAAAGAGCCTGCCCCCAAAAGGCATGTGCTGATGGCGCCAGCCTGGCACAGTAAAATAAATGATAAACAGAGAACCCAGGGAATCTAAGCTCTCCAGACAAAACCAAGCCAGCAAATACAGGCATGACCTGTTCCAATAAAGCTGATGGGTGGAAATCTGAATTTACAAAAAGGATAAATAGAAGGATTAATATCCCTATTTTAAATACATACATATATACACACATGTATCATCTTTCTAAATATGCACATATAAATATATTTGCTTTCAGATCAGTCTTGTAATAAGTATAAGGCTCGATCACAAGAGTCACTGACAATTGAAGATCCAATTGGAAATGAAAATGAAGTCATTCCAAATGACAACTGGAGTCATTGGGGAAATATGGTCTGATTTACAAAAATGTGATTTGCACACTTTCCCCCAGTGCACAGATATCACATAAAGGGATAAACCCTGTCATTAGGCCAACAGATTTTTTTTCCTCTCCTTCATAGCAGGGAGTTGTTAGCCTGAATTTTCTGGATAATTACTTCAGTTTTCTATTTCAGTTTACTAGTGCAGACCAGGTCAAAAGACTGGATTCTAAAAAGGCCAGAGACAAGCGCAAACATTGATCCATACAAACTCTTTTGCAAATGCAAATAATGCGCCCTCCTATCTCTTTAGTTTCCTATTTGTAGAGATGACTCTACGAGAAGAAAGAAATGCGGGTCAGCTACCCTGTCTCCATCTTATATGCTCACATAGAGAGGGGGAAGAAGAAAAACGCAAATAAAAAATACCAACAAACTTACGGATGGGCAGCTGAGGAGGGGTGGGGCTGGAAAGGACCCAATCCAAGCAGCATTCTCTGCTCTGAATAGAG